CTTTCCGTGGATGGTGTCCTTCAGTGAAAAATCAACAAAGCTCCAACAGTTTCAGAAAACAGTTCACTAGGACAAGAATAGTAATTGTATACAATATATACAGGATTATACATGTTACATGTTATTCAATATGCTACTATTTCGACCTACAACGATTTGTCCGAGGGCATCTTGGCCAAGAACGCACAAAAGCTTTCCAGAAGAAAGCAAGGAGCATACTTCATCCTCAGTTCGCCAATGATGCAACAAATCACTGGCACTTTGTCCGCACGATGTTAGCTCACAAATCTGACGTATAAAACAGAATTAAACAATTACTAAATAACTACTATTTCTCAAACCCGCCAAGGAGCATGTAAGCCAAATAATCCGAGTCGTAGCTGGCGTTGATGAGCTTCAGCTCCACCTCAGGATCCTTCATGGCAATGCGGGCCACCTGGCGACCAATGCGGCCGAAGCCGTTGATTCCCACACCCACAGCCTGCATGGAGGTACGGTTCCTTCCTGCACGCTTGCCGACTGCACCGGCTGCCACAAGGCCAGCCACGGCTCCCACTCCGGCCATGGCTCCCATGGATTGAGAAGACTGGGAAGTCTTGGCATAGCCTGCTGCGCGCAGGTTGGTCTTGGGCTCTGCCACAGGTCCTGGGGCCACGAAGGCGCTGGTCAAAGCTGTGCCAGCCACAGCACCGCCAACGATGAGGGCCATGTTCTCCGCCACGGAAGGCATTGTTGGTTGATGTAGATCAAATCAGGAACAGGCACACTGAGCCGAGCTAAATGCTGACCAACCCTTTGGCATGAATCTTGCATGATAACCGATGACGCGGTCATTGAGGCACTCGACAAAAATGACATCTGTTGCTAATGCAGAACAATTGCTGGAAAAAAAACATCAGTAAAATATAGTAAAATGGTTGTTCTATGTTGCACAAACTGTCCATTGTCAACAAAGGCCTCTACAGTAACCAAACATCACCAGACAAAACGATAGACTGTGCAATGCCAGCTTCATATTTGTGCCGCACTCAAGGAAGGACGGAAAGAAACATCTCCAACAAAATCAAGAGTGGATTAAAGAG